TCGTAGAGAGGAACTCAGTATAGGGAGGTTCACTATATTTATAACGAACCTGTATTTATATAAAAAAACTTTATCAAAAAATTATCTGCAGGTATTTTGTATTTATATATGTATGTTTTATCACCTGCAAATTTGTTTAAAATTGTTTTACTTGTCATATGTTTAGTTATTTAAGCAGTGATGTCAAAGTGATTCTTAAACAAGCAGAAGTTGTTCTATTAAAGCATTCATGTCAAAAGAATACAACTATACTTATTTGAAATATTAACTAAAAAATTCTAACACTAAAATGCCAAAAAAAGTGAAAACCAAAAAAATATAGATGCTGTATTAAATGAATACGTTTGTGTAATTAATAGATATATAATGGTTCATCCATTCTATTTCTTTAAAAAAATTTAAATATCGCTTGTAATAAAACAACTGCTTTTCAACAAGTTCTCAACACCATTCACAATATCTTGCGAAATCAATGCATTCGCAATCTCAATAGGCTCTTGGTATTGCAAGTTATCATTTTTATCACATGTATTTAAAATAATTTATTTATTTATATATTTGAATTTATTAGTAAATGAAATGCTCATATGATTTTGTCTTATAATCAAAATTTTCCAATGGACATTCACAATAGACTGATAACACATTTTCAATGATTATTCACAATAGACTTATTCTTAAATTTGCCTGCACTGAAACTTAAAACTGAACATTTTTGCGAGTAAACGTAACTCTGAAGATTTTAAGAGCATTGTTGTTGTTTCTAATGTTTTCTTCCGTAAGTTGCGAGTATTTTTTTTGCTGCTCTGAATGCAGATTATCTACTGCAAACCTGCTGAGTTAGTTTAAAGGCATGCAAAAAATAAATTATAATTAAAGCACTCAGAAAAATATACTCTAACCACATACAGATTTATAAATCTGATTAATTTTGTTAAGAAAATTTTAGTGGCATGTGCTAAAGAAAATAAAACCCAACATGTTGCGTCGAGTAAGAATATTTAGACCAGAGATTTAGTTAAAACCTGGTTTTACCTAGTCAACCAAATTATTTTTATTAATTTGCGATTAATTAGACCAAAAAAAAATCTGTTTAATTGTTAAATTGGTTGAAACACAGTTTTTGACACTGACATCACTTCTGTCACTTTTGAAAAATGTCTTATGACTGGAAGACCCATATCTTACATTTTTCAAACTTCTGATGGTAGCCATGATGAAGTGGAAGAATGCGTCATCTCACGTCACACAAAGAATATTCCATGGAATAATATCCATGGAAGAATATGTTATCTGACGTCACACAAATAATTTTCAACGAAAAACTTAAATCGAATTTAAATTGCTATTTATGACCTAGTTTTATAAAAATTAAAAACCCATTCGAACGATCATATCAAAGTTACAAAAAATCTATCGATGAATGGAATAAAATCTAGCCCAAATTATTTTGGTTTTATGGTAGTTTTATGTCCACCTATTAGTTTCAACCTATTACTAGTCATTGTCGACTTTATGATATTTACTTTCCAAGTTTATGATTTCATAATTTTGGTATATTTGTAGAGTTTGGAGTGATATATGCGAAAAAACTAAAACTATTATTTTTCAATTTTTCTAAGTGATTTTCAAATTTTGTTGATGAAATGAAAAAAACATGAGGTTAATTATTAGGTCATTGGCAAGCTCTTAAATCTTTTGTTGCGATCTTGGAGAATGCATGCTAAAGCTGTTCAAATACCTCATAGCATTTATGGATTAATAGTCATGTTTTCCAAATTTCTTGCACACAATAACTCATCCACTTTATTTAAGGATTTTTGATTAGAAATACAAGATTTTATAGAAGTGCATGGAAAACTACTTTAAAGTTCATATCGCGCGGAAACTTTGAATGCCACTTCAATATTTAACTGCCAAAATATTTAAGTGAAAACTCACTAAAGTACACTTTGGCAGACTTAATGCAATAGTTTTCCAAACTTGTGTTACATATTGGACAGATAAAAGAGAAATCTTTCCCTATTGCAGTTATATAGAGAACTGAATAACTTTTAATAGCTTCTCGTCAAATAGAGATTTTCATGGGAAAATTTTGAAAGTTAAAAAAATTTATTTCCTAAATTAAAAAAAAAAACTAAGTAAAAAAATTAAATTATGAATACAGCAAACGTCAATTTAGAAAGTTCAAAGCGTCAACTTGAGAAGTTTTCACAAAATGTTTTAAATTGTGTGAAAATGCAAAAGGAAAACTTTAAGAAAATGGGGTGAAGTTATTGCGAATATAAAGAAAAAAAATGAAAGTGAAGATAAGCAACTTTGCGTTGATTGCTGCTTATCAAACTATGAAAAACTGTTTCAACACAGTTTGCATTTCAAACTGCAATTGTATCTAAAGATTCGAGTTTCTTATCGTATCATTGATGTCATTTTATAAATACAAATATTGCACACAAAATGAAACACTTGATTAAATTCTCGTTTCCCATTTTTTCTAATTTGTTTCTTAACTCGACCAATAGACTCACTTTCACTGTCCAAGTGAGAAGCTAAGAATAAGTTTCTAGTTTATATTTTAAGATTTAAAGATATATTTTAACTTCATCCGACAGTTTTTTGGCACAAATCAGTTGTTTGAAATGAGAACAAATTAAGTACACCCAATGTAAACACTTACTTTTAAATGAGTGATTTAAATTGCGTCATTTGCGACCTGTGTAAACGCCATATTGAAAAAAATAGAATAGAATAGAATAGAAATAGAAATATAAGAAATATTACGAAATATATAAAAAATAATTTTAAACTTTTATTAAGGATGTGTGCGAGTTGTGCTAAGTTAAGTTGTTGCTAAACCAAATAGGATTTTCCTTGATATTTTTACACTGCACACATTTACCCATTTGGTTCAAAAAAGTCAGCGAGTTGCATTTTGACAGCTAATATCAGCTGTGAATATATTTTGATTTCAATACTCTGTTTACATATTTTGCAATGGCGGAGAACATGTCTTTTAAGAAATTATAAAAGTAAATTTTAAAATATTTATATATTTATACACCAAGTATCATAAAATGATTATTAATTTGTAATTGAATTATCATTTCTTGGATCTTCACAATTAGAAATTAAAAACTTAAAATAACATTTACGTTTTTTTTATCTGCTAATTTTTAAAATGAAAAATTTTGCACCATGCCACAGTAAGAATCAGTGGGAAGATTGACTTTGTAGCGGACTGATCAGCATCCACTAACCATTGCCACTTAAAACTTTAAAGGAAGTTATACCGTTCGCATGAAAAAAGTATCAAGTAGGATCCAATAAATCAAAGGACTTATCTGGGCATCGACAACAATATTACCGATAGTACCAATATTTTCCAAGCAAATGATATCGTTAAGGGCAAAAATTCAATGTGTGAAAGTCCAGCGGTTCTAATCGCGTGTATCAGCGACTGAGTAACATTGGTTTAAAGTATGATACCCTAATTTTGAAGTTATTTAGGCCACCATCATTCAGAGTTAACTGTCACGAAGTATATTTACATTTATACAAAATAAAAAATTCAGAAAATAATTGTGTTGTATAAATCGAATTTTATTTTATTTAATAATTAAGTTACTAAAACCGTATTTACAACCACTACAAGATTAAAATTAAATAGGTAAATCAAAAATTGTATTTGTCATAAAGACAACAGCATACGATTATCATTATTGTCAGTAGCATTCCAACACGTTTGATCATTTGTATTAATAAGTTTACTATTTGCATTAAATGATAGTAAGGGACGTACACAATCAACGTGACCACAACTAGCATAATGTAACGCAGTCTGTTCTTCACCATCACGCAAATCTACATTAGCACCCCAATTGAGTAAAAAATGTAAAATTTTAAATGCATTGTGGTCTGCTGCCCTGTGGATTAAACCCCTACCATTTTCTTCTAAGTCATTCAGTTGTGCAAGTGTTAGGTTCATTTGTAAAACTTCCAAAGATTCATCCTTCATCCTTATCATCCTTTTTATGTTCAGCTTTTTGTTCCACATCATTTGGCGATAGCTCAGTAAAATGAACTACCCAACTAAAGGCAGATTTACATTTTTGTGCACTTTTTAACTTTGGCTACCAAAGTGGAACCAGTTGTTTCACCTTTTTAATATATAAATTGTTCACAAATATTGTTGAACACAAACAAAATTATTCAAACATCATAAATTATCAAAACAATATTGCCAAGTCCAAGCAATATTAGTTCCATCAATTCAATTAGTTCTTTGGAAACAGCCACTATAATAAAACTTTGTCAAATAAATGTTTATAATATTAAATAAAAGTAATAAAAATTTTAGAAAATACAAATATTTACAATATTTATTGCAAATGCTTATTAAATAATGAAAAATATATGCAAAAAGTGATCACTCTTCGGTTAACAGTCTTATAATTACGATGATTAATTTTTTTTAATATAAATAAAACAAAACGATTTAATAAAATTATTTCTTATTGAAATTTTCTATATTCATATATTCATTTAAATTCATGTATGAATATATTATCTTATGAACATACTAAAGTGACAGCCCTGGCGATTTAGTCTCGACTTAGCCATCTCGAAAATATGCTAAGTACCAACACATCACTACATCATCGACACAACTTAGAATTTTCCTCATTTAAAACGCAACTTAGCACAACTTGCACACGACCTAAGTACCAACATATCACTACATTATCGACACAACTTTAAAACGCAACTTAAAGGTTGTTTTTGGGACATTGATTTTTAACATGATTTTGTGCGAATTCCACGCATACGATTTTTCTGATTTTTACTTTATTTGAAAGCTTATTTTTTGCCGTTCAAACACATATACACGCAGTTCCATCGAACTCTGACTTGTTTTTTAATAATTTTTTAAGTACAAGAAGTCAGTTTTTTTAAAAAATTTGGTTTTTTTATTTTTTGAATATTTTAGCTATCATATTTCTTATTTCGTGAAAAAGCTTTAATTTAGCTAATATTAACAAGTTAACAAACTTAGAAAAATTTCGTGTTCCATTTCCGGTTTGAACCTCCCAACATCGTTGCTATTCTGGCACTGGCAATTCTTGGGTAGCAACCAAAAAATATCTTTCAAAATCTCGTCTGGTTGCAACTCTGCGTGCATTTCCTCAAACTAGTCGAACTAGTTTCCTGTTTAATTGCACACGCATTTACTGTAAGACACTTTCAATGCAAAAAAAAGAGTTGCAAAAAATGTTTGCTAAAAAAAGTGAATAGTGAATAATAGTGAAATTTAGTGGGCTTTAAATAAAAATAAAAAAATTTAACAAATAAGCGAAATTTGTTGCGATGGAACAGAATGTGATAAAAACTACTAAGAACCATCAAGCAACCAATAAAATTCAAAATGTGACGTCATCAAATTTAAAACCAATGACGACAAACACAAGCACAATAGCTAAAACCGGGACTGATAAGATAATTCATGAAGCGGTTCCAACTTTGTCAAGTACGGCAGAAGATTGCTTTATTACACAAGCCTCCGACAGTAATTCCATCAACATAAAGAAATACGATGAAAATGTACGTGAAAACAACTTCGCCGATAAAACAATTAAATCTCAATCAGTCGGTAACACTACCAAGGTTATTGTTAATGCCGATGCTGTGACCGTCAACATAAACACATCGTCAGTGTTATCGCTGCTCTGTGATGAAACAGAAAAAACTAATGATGTGTTAGATACCAAACTAGGAGTTGAGCGGCCTTATAATGGTGGGAAGAAAACTGCTGAATTCAGTGAAGTTGGGGCTGACAAAGATGATTTGTGGAATATTATACAAGCAAATTACAATTACATTATGAACACAAGTCTATTAGACATTTGCCAAGAAACTCAGACGGAAATTGAAAATAAACCAATCGTTCAATCAGTTAACTCTTGCAATAGTAAACGTGATCAAACAAATCATAATAACAGCTTATTTGGGAATACTACAGACTTAGTTAATTGGCTATGTGAAATGAAACAGAAGCTATCGATTGCACTAACGTCATCACGAGCAGCGAACTTCAGTTTTGCAGAATTGCAGCGACAAAAAAAGGAATACTCGTTATTATACCAAGAATTATTATCGCATGCTCATGGCATAAGTAGATGCCTACGTGCAGCACATGTAAGAGAAGAAAACCAAGAATATCAAGAAGAGCTGAACGGGCAGCAGCTGCAAGCATTTCAGTTATTCAACAGCAACTCAAACTCAGTTGGTGCACAAAACAATTTATATTTTTCAACCACTGGTGAAATATTGAAACATACAACTTCAACAGCAACTCACACAATAAAATCTTCCAGTGTTGAAACTAAAGTTACCAATTCTTCAAGTCGGTATAAGAACTTCAATGCTGACAGTGAACCAGAAAGCGCAAGCGCAGATTTGGCAGCGGGTCTGATGAAATGTGAAGGAAACCTAGAGCGTTTAGAAAATTGTTATCATTTGCTATGTTTAAAAGCATTAGAGGTGCAAATTTATTTAGATGGTCTAATAACTAATAAGAGCTTGACACCAAGCGAAAACAGCGACATCGAAAATGACAAAGATGATTATTCATTGGAGGCGTATGTCGATAGTGATAATGCTACCAAAGAAAAATATTTTTCTACTAAAAATAATAATTCATTATCGTTAAGTGGATTGATATGTTCCAATATTGATAAGAAACACTTGTCAATAGCAACAAAGTCTCCAGCAAGCGCAATGCAAATCCATAAGTGCATGGGAAATAAGTTAGACAAATCTACGGATTTATTATCGAACAGCAGTGAAAGTGATTCATATACAACGACACCAGTTGACGACGATTTGGATTGTTTGAGTTCTAACTCTTCGAGTATCACGTTAAATTCCTCCATATTTGACGCTGAATTTCAATATTGTAGAGTATTAACTTCTACTCCAATAAAAATCACTACAACTGCTTCTGTTCACAACAATTCTGATAAAGAGAATGAAGAAACTTCAGTACATAATAGTAGTCTTGAAAATAAATTATGTTTCGGCGGGCGTTCAAACGTCCGCAGTATTAGTGTCAATCCAAGCCAAATGTTTAGTTCCAAAAAATTTTCACATTCAAGACCACAACTTAATTCGGACACATTTCAAAGTTATAAATATGCGGCTATGGGAGAAGTATCGTCACGTGTACAGAAATCGCCCGATCAACCAACGACACGTTCACTAATGCATAACAAAGAATATATTATCGGAGGAATCAATAAACCTAAAGATTGTAGTAGTTACGATTGTGAAGCTTTTGATGAATCATCTGAAACAGACCTACCTGCACAATCGGTGTCTGATTTTTCTAAAAATTATACTAGTTCCACGGCAACTGACGTGCAAACAAATAAAAAATCTCATGGAAATTTTTCGAAATATACGAATAATACTTCTAAAAATGGTTTTGATAAGAATAAACAGAGTTCAAATATTGTCAAAACAGTCGAAAGGCATCGAAACCATTTAGACTGGAAGTCAAACTATCCATACTCATCGTTGTGTTTGTCACAATTAACCACTGCAACGGAAATAGCAAGAAATGTTAATAATTCAAAAGGTCTATATAATGATTTGATGAGAATCTCAGCATTAAATTCATTGTCATCTGAAGATCCAAATGTTCGTTCCACAGTTGAAGAATCTAGTAAATCACCTATTAAAAGTTATTATAGCGAACGTTTGTTTAAACATGGCAATATACACAAGAATGAACTTTCGAATTTGCTTACAGATTCATCCATTTTAGCCACAAAGAAATTAGATGCATTGTCACCGCCACGTACAGATTCGTTTCAACAAAATAAGGTAAATATTATAAAACGAGACGGCATAGCAAACAGCTTCAACCAAACTAGACGTCGTCGAAAACTCCGTTTAGAACGTAAACGTAAACTTAAATCACCAAAGGTTCGTAAACTCTATGAAGAATTTTTAGGCAGTCAATCAAGCAGTTCGTTCACATTATTATCATCTTCACTTACCGCTTTTAGAGATGAAAAGTTTGACTATCAAAAACAACGAACAGTTTCAAAAAATTATAAACTTGATTTAGAAGTCAGTAATTCAACTCAAGCATTTCGTTGCACCTCCGCAAGCGATTTTTTTAACAATAGCTGTAAAGTTAATGAACATCATCGCTCGCCTAAACGTGTAAATAAGAGTATAGTTACATCTATACACAATAATTCCAACGATGACAATGAAATTCATAACATATTTCAACAAAATTGGAACCATTCGGTAAGTACGCATACTTATCAATTACGTTCAAAACTTCCAAACTCTTTGCGCGACCTGTCTTGTGCGGTACTTTCAACAGAATATGGCAGGCAGACTAAAGATATATATACTTTTGACACTTGGAAGGAACTATCGTTTTGGTGTGAAAGTGAAACAATGGCATACAAAATGCAAAACGAGATGATTAAACTTAAGCACGAAATTTATCGTTTGGGTAACCGATCACCATTTGAGTTATTTGATATTAAACAAGCAATTCAAATTGCCATTGAGTCGCTGAAGAATGAAAGTATGCAATTGCAAAACTTCTTCATCAACATGCGACGTTTAAATGCTTCCGTCCACAGTTGGCTAGCAAAAGGGGAAAGTAAGCTACACGCATCTTTGAACAATCAAAAGTTGGAGAACGCTTCAGTAAAAGTGGCAATGAAGCGCAAAATTGTATTGGAGAAAAAAGAACCTAAAGAACCTATATCTAAAGATGACTCAGCAAATAACACCACTTCCCTTATAGCACCAGAATCAACTACTCTAAAAATAACAGTTCCAAACAGGAATGGTAATCAGCTAAAAACGTTGTCAACTACTCCAAATGCTAGCCAAAGAACAAAAGTAACATCAACAGTTTTATTAGCAACCGCAAATACTAACTTAGGCAACCAGTGGGATCTATATCCTCTGATGAAATCGGAAAGCAAGCTTTACAGCCAATTAAAGGATGAAGTTGTTGGTATGTATTTCGCTTGGAATGAAGCCAGAGTGAGAGTTAATACCACATGCAATGAGTTGGAAGAATCAATGGTAAATTGGCGCTTATTAGATACTGGTCTTAAGGAGTTCCATGCTTTTCTCAATGAGGACCGTTGCGCTGTAAAAGGTTTGATAGTTGCTTTAAATAACAGTCAAATCACGCCCGTGCAATTAATACAAAGCGTAAAATTAGTGGCACATTTGCTGTCACAGAATATGAATGTAAGCCCTGAACTAATTACTATGCTCGAACAACCAGATCTAAACCACATGCTACACATAGCACAATTCACGACATTAATTAGTTCCCTCTCAAATTTGGATATAACCGATTGTGGTAAAATTTTTGACGACCGGTTGCTAGAACATAAGCAACGTTTGACTGCATTACATCACTTAGCAATGAAATTAGAATCGTTATTCACACGTGGCTCTAATGCTGTTAAATCAATTGCAGCTTCGATAAAAATAGCTGAAGCAGATATGAAGAACTTGCAAAATACTTACCGTGATTTAATCGTAAGTGTTGCAATAGCGCATCAAAATATGAAACAACGACCCATTGCAACTGCACAACAAAAAATCTTAACGAATGGTGAACAAAAGGTTCAACAAGATTCAAATCCCATTTACAAAAACAAACGTGACCAACATGCTCCAACCAGTAAGCAAAATGCAGCCAATAGTCTCACTCATTCCCACAATAAATCAACAGAGCAGACATCTAGTAGCGATAATCACCCAGATAGTGAACCAACTGTCGATCGTGATGTGGACGCTTTCGATGATGAAAACAACAAAGCACCTAAATGTAATTGGATATATCGTATAGTTCGACCTGCGGTTCTAGTACTATTGGTATTAATTATTATAATCTGCATTGTTTATTTTGTACAACCAAAGTGTTGCGACAACCTCAACAATTTGTCCAATAGTTTTCGACCACATTTGCAGTATGTACGTGGCCCACCGCCAGTATGAACGACAGTAGACCAACACAGTTGTGTTTTGAGAAACGTCGCGATATTTGAATTACATTCTATTATTTAATTAAACTTACTTAAAATTTTAACTTTAAATAAAATAAATAAAATAAAATTATTTTTTCATTACACCTATACCTAGCTTAACGGCTTCGATCCGTTCCGAGAAAATTGGTCGTGAAGCGAAAAACCGTCTACATTTTTATTTTTTTATAGCCATACAAATTCAATCAGATCGGTTCCAATTTTAAAAAAAATTTTTAAATTTCATGATTTTGTTGTTAGCTGTCCGGACATGGATATAGCAGACTCTGGCTCGTTCTCAAGTATTTGATCGGTTACTTACTGGATCAACTCCTGTTTCGAAAGAAATTCTCTATGCTGATCATTAAGCAATTCAACCAATCATTATTTTCAAGATATTCACACCCAAGATCCTTGATCGTTCCTGAACATGAGGAGGTATTTAATTAACGTTTAAATCGTGCGCATCATTGGTGAAAAAAATACTTTAGGCCATTTAACAACAAAATTTAAAGTTATACAGAAATCTCTTCGAATTAAATTGAAACATTTACATTCCATTATATTAGGTATAATCATTCTACATAAATTTTTAAAAGCATGTTCGGTTGATAATATGATAGCCAAATATGTTGACCTGGAAGATTTAAAGCATGGTATTATCGTTCCTGATTCATGGAGAAAAGGTAAAGAATTACTAGCGTTTGACAGAACTAATATTGATTTTTTGGCAGAATCAAAGAAACCACATGATGAGTTAGAAGTTTATTACTGCAAGCAATGTAAAGTTTCCTTTTAATATAAAATGATTCATTAAGAAAGAATAATATAGAATAGAATAATATAAGCCACCGTCCTTTGAGAAATCTGATAGACTGGAGCGTTAAGATATCTCGAAATATCACAAAAGTGTGACATTATAAAGTGAGCAGTACTTAGATACGGTGGTGATAAATAGAATAATATAACATTATATGTAATCTATATATATTTGCGCAAATCTTTGTAATTAACTAGATCCATGAGTAAGTAATACGTGGTGATTTCATCAAAATTGCATACGTAGTGCTAACACACAACAAGACTTTGAGAGATTCATTTTTAGTTCGGACAAAAAATAGTTATTTGTACTACTAATAACTGCTAATTTTTTTGTTCTTTAATCTATATACATAAAAGAAAGTCGTGTTAGTTACACCACTCATAACTCAAGAACGGCTGAACCAATTTTAATTATCTTTGATTTGTTGGAATCGTCTCCGCTCCGAATAGCAGAATACATTATAAAATATTGGGAAAATCAACTAATTTTAGCAAAAATTATAAATTTGTAAATGCTGTTTCAAACTGTTGACAGTTCGACAGTTTGAGTAATATTGATTTCTTTTTAAATTTTTTTTTCAAATATTTCAAATATTTGAAATTTCAAATATAATAAATTCAAATATAATAAATAAATATTGATTTCAATATACCATCAAATCCACGTGACATGTGGAACAAATATAAGGATAACATGTCAGAAGACATTTTACATAGAATTCGTGTCAGTTCAAGAAATCCCGATCTTCAGGTGAATGATGAAATGCATAATCAGGCTTTGCTCTTGATCGAAGACATATGTTACCATACCTGCGGTAGTTTGTTAGTCCGATAAGGAATGCCAGCTCCTGATCGTGGAATAAATAACGCATTTAATCGAGAATTGGAACGTGAACGTGAATATGATCGACATGAATTAGAACAATTAGTTCAAACTAATGTACCTCTATTGAATCCGCAACAGAAGGAAGTGTATGATACATTAATGAAAGCGATTGATGAAGAAAATGGTGGCTTTTTTTTCCTGGACGCCCCCGGTGGGACTGCTAAAACATTCCTCATGTCATTAATTTTGGCCACTGTTCGTGCGAGATCCGACATTGCGGTAGCAGTTGCTTCTTCTGGAATAGCGGCTACATTGTTAGAAGGATGCCGTACGGCTCATTCAGCGTTAAAATTGCCGTTAAACCTTCAAACTACCGAGCAACCGATATGTAATATTGCGAAGCATTCTGCAATGACTAAAGTTTTAGTAGCATCTAAAATCATCATCTGGGACGAATGCACAATGGCGCACAAACGCGCATTAGAAGCACTTGACAGAATATTGAAAGATCTTCGCAATGACTCGAGATGTTTTGGAGGCGCAATGATTTTACTGTCTGGCGATTTTCGCCAAACACTCCCAGTCATTCCAAAATCGACTGCTGTCGACGAAATAAATGCTTGCCTTAAATCATCAAATCTTTGGCGCTATGTGAAGAAACTTCAGCTGGTAACAAACATGAGAGTTGCATTGGTAAACGATGCATCTGCTGAAGAGTTCTCCAAGCAATTGCTGTTAATCGGTAATGGCCGTGTAGCTGTTGAAGAATCGAGCGGATTAATTGCATTTCCTTCAAATTTTTGCAATTTCGTCTCATCAAAAGACGAACTCATCCATGAAGTATTTCCGAACATCATTGATAATCATAAAAACAAAAAATGGTTGAGTGAGCGAGCAATTTTGGCAGCTAAGAACAGAGATGTGAATGACTTAAACTTTGTAATTCAAAATCAAATCGTTGGTACTCTGCATACATTTAAATCTATTGACTGTGTAACAAACGAAGAAGAAGCTACCAACTATCCAACTGAATTTTTGAACTCCTTGGATGTGCCTGGCTTACCATCGCACAATTTACAATTAAAGATTGGTTCGGTAGTCATTATGCTTCGAAATCTAAACCAACCAAAACTATGCAATGGAACGCGTTTAGTGATAACAAAAGTGATGGCCAATGTGATTCACGCAATGATACTCAAAGGAAAATTCAAAAGTGATGAAGTTCTCATTCCGAGGATTCCAATGATCTCAATCGATATGCCCTTTGAGTTTAAACGAATTCAATTTCCTATTCGGCTTGCATTCGCTATGACTATAAATTAATCACAAGGCCAATCCTTTAGTGTTTGTGGTCTGAATCTAGAAAATGCATGTTTTTCACATGGTCAATTGTACGTGGCATGTTCACGTGTAGCAAACCATCTGCTTTATTTGTTCTTGCGCCTGATAAAAAAACAAAAAATATCGTATATCACAAGGTTCTTTATTGAAGAGAATCAATCGGAGTGCAACCCATAGGTTCTTGCTGACAGACCATTAAAATAATTAATTATATATCAATATCCTAATAAACTATTGAATACAATAAATTTTTTGTATTCATTTTATTACGTTAATAAATTTCTAAATTTAGTTTACCTATAATTTAATATAACATTTATTGACTGTTACGCGGTACGAAGTTCGCGGGGTCACCTAGTTATATAATAAAGAAATAAAAAATTTGGATTTTAAAATTATTTGCTTGTCTTGATGTTCAAAATTCTACATCAGTATAATATTATTTCTAGATAACAAAGTCATATCTAAAAACGTAGGTATCGAAATTTTTGATTTGCCAAATTGCACGAATTTCGTTACAAAATTTTTTTCGTTATATGTGGTCGTTTTTTCACAATTTCTGCTTTCAAACGACCCAGTAATGCCGTGTAGTAGTTATTATTGATGGTTTTGAAATAGTCAATCTCCATGTGCATCCCAAAATACTGAAGCCATAATCTTCACAACTGACTGTTGTGCCTTTGGACGGTTCGGACGTGGCTCACCGAATGCAGTCCACTCAGATGACGATCGTTTTGATTCCGGAGTGAAGTTATGGATCCATGTTTCATCTATTGTCACACATCGATGCAAAAAATATGATTTATTACGGGTAAACATGACCAAACACTGCTGTGAATTATCAACACGATATTGTTTTTGATCGACTGTGAGTAAACGCGGCACCCACTTTGAAAAGAGCTTTCTCATGGTCAAATGTTCATGCATAATTGTAAACATACGACCTTCTGATATCTGTACGGTCTCAGCTACCTCACTCAATTTCAATTTACGATAAGATATAACCAATTTGTGGAGTTTTTTGATATTTTCTGGAGTTACCACCTCCATTGGACGACCAGAACGTTCACCATCATCGGTGTCTGTACGATCACGTTTAAATTCAGCAAACCAATAACAAATGGTTCTTTTCGATGGAGGAGAGTGCAGATAATACTTTTGAAGCCATTGCTGAGCTTGTATAGTATTTTTGTCATCATGGACCAATGATAAATTAACACACGAAATTTTTTTGAATCCATTGTTTTGAAAATAACAAAAGTAGCTTCACAGCCATTTAGCTGCCACTTTTTTTCTGACTAATCAAAATGTCATGAAATTTTATACATAGTCTTTTGAAGGTTAACAACCTTACTTCATGTCAGTCACACGACTTATTGAGTGGTGTGTTATCTTTCAAAATATAGCGAATAATTCAAACCATAAAGCCCTAAAATGAAGTATATGTAATCAGTTAAAGTGATTCTGCAGCTTAAACAAAACATGAAATGAACAAAGTTCCAACAAGATGCTATACTACTCACTTAATAATAGTATATATTCCTTCTTTAGCTACATATTAAAAAAAAGTTCTGATTGATGTGCATCCAATATCAGGAATGAATACGACAGTACGATTTAAAAAGGTAATGTAGATATGAAGCAATTAGTTCAATAGTTGGCGACTTGTTGTTGGTTCGTCTTCAATTGTGCATTTTAAGTATATTCTTATGAGTAGGATTAAACATTCTTGTAAAATAGATTTTGAGGTAATGATTCGATATATCAGAGTCTATCTGCTGAGTCTTAATTATATCACACAATGCATAAAAGCATTTAAAATAAATCGAATAGATATTTTTTATTTTGATGTCATTTTTGTCTGGTATATTATGTTTAAAATTTTCAAATTTGTTTGTTTTTATTAATTACTCTTAACATATAATTGCATACATACAATTCTTTAAAATTATTTAGATTTTAATGATTCGTTTTGACACCAGTATCAATTATATCTCGCTTAACTAAATACCGTATGTTAT